GGAAGAGTAAAAATGACTTCTCTCTGCTTCTTCTTTGTCTAAATATTTTACTCATAGATGTCTTCGTTTCCCCTGATGTTTCATTATGTTTATGAAACTTTTCTATAAAAACATAAGCTCATTTTAACTTTTAAAAATAAGCAAGTACCATTCCTATAAAAAAAAAAAAAATCCTTCCTTTGATGAGACAGCTGGGTGCATCTTAAGTCCACTTCTACCCCCAACCTGAGAAGATCCCTTTGCGTTTGCTTATTTCTCTCCACCTCCAGCATTGACTCTCCCTGATTAGGTCTGTCGGTGACTCTGCCTCCTGGTCCAGATGGGCCTCCTTCATTCTGACTTGGCCCAGGGGCCTCCTCCCCCCGGGGCATAAGATGAAGATGATTCCTGGGACTGGCCCCAGTGTCTCCACTTATTCTAAATAGATATTTCTTTCATTGTGCATGAAACCTTTCCTTCTCAACTATCTGCCTGGGACCCAGCTCTCTTTCCACTTCCTGGAACTTCTCATTCAAGTGGCCAGGTTCAGCTCTTAATAGTGTGTCCCTAACCTAGAATCATTCAACTTGCTGCTACTTATTGACCACTGTCTTCTATTTATTATGCCCCTACTACATGCAAGTCATGTGCTATGTGCTTCATATACATTATTTCTAGTCTTCTCACCAGCCCTGCAAAGCTGTGTGACCTTGGACACCCTGCAAAGCATTTATGAGCCACAGGTTTCTCATTGAAAATGTGAATAACACCAATGGGAGTCTGCATGCTACACAACAGCACACGGCCTTTGGTGGGCTTATTTCTCTCTGGTGCCCCCACATCACCCAGTTAGGGCTCGATGTATAATTAGAGCTCAACACATCCTTACTTGGTGACGGTTTGAGTACAGTTATCTTATTCGATTACTTTCCTGAGTCAGTTCTAGGAAATGAAACAGATTTATATTTAAAGTTTACTGAAAGCAGTAGACATTCACATCAAAGAACCAGTGCAACAAGATGTGACTTTTATTTTATTATTTTTAAAGAGTTATGTATTTATTTTCATGCGTAATAGAAAAAACATAACTAGCACATCAACGTGTGACCACGTGGGTATATGGCTTAGCACAAGATTAAAGTTGGAAGTGAGTTATAAAAAAAGAATGTTGATTTAAAGAAAATATTAAAGACAGAGAATAGGAGGCCTTTGGTTACGATAAAAATGAGGGAGGTGGCACGAAAAGGCCTGGTGTAGGGGACTCGCTGCTCTAAGCTCTAGGCAAGAAGCGGTGCTCTGATGTCCCTAAGGGGCCTTCCAGAGAAACCGCCCCCGGTGCTGAGGGCTGGGCTTCCTTAGGGAGCTGAGGGACATCCAGGCAACCCCAGGGCGCAAAGCACATCTTGTTGAATTTGTTTCCCTCCTACAAAATGCCTTAGAAGTTACAAAGCAACAAAAATGATTTTGATTTTCCTTAAAAGGGAAGAAGAGTCTTCTAGGTGGAGTCTTGAGGAGGCAGTGGTCACAGGGCAGCCCGGGCTGGAGGAGTGAGACTTGGTGGGGGGATAATCAGAGGGGTTGAAGGGACACCCCCTGGTGCTATCCTGGAGGGCGTGCGTCTGTGCGAATGTGTGGGTGGTGTGTGCACGGCCCGGTCAAGGCTGCAGGAAGAACGCACAGAGCTCCTGCACCCTGCCCCCCAGCACCCTGTCCCCCAGCACCCTGCCCCCCAGCACCCTGCCCCCCAGCACCCTGTCCTCCAGCACCCTGTCCCCCAGCACCCTGCCCCCCAGCACCCTGTCCCCCAGCACCCTGCCCCCCAGCACCCTGTCCCCCAGCACCCTGCCCCCCAGCACCCTGTCCCCCAGCACCCTGTCCCCCAGCGTACAGCGATCACTCAGTCAATGTCTGCTGACTCACTGTTGCGCACATAGGAGAGCGAAGGCAGGTGGAGGAGGTTGGGACATCCTTGGGTGTCAGCACATCTCATCCTCTTCTCCTGCCCCTGCTTCACATTCACAGCTGAACAAGACATTGCTTTCAAATACCTAATGTTCGTAAAGCTAAATCCTGAAACCTCTCCTCTTGGAATGCTTTGGTTATTGGATTTCTGTTAACTGTTAATTAGTTATTTTGTTTAAAATAGACTTGTTTGACATTTTACCAAATTCTTTTTTTTAATCCTCACCTGAGGATATTTTTCCATTTATCTTCAGATAGAGTGGGAGAGAGAGAGAGAGAGAGAGAGATTGAGAGAGAGAGAGAGAGAGAAATATAGATGTGAGAGAGATACATCAACTGGTTGCCTCCGCACAACCCTGACCAGGACCGAAGACAACTGCAACCAAGGTACATGCCCTTGGCTGGAATAGAACCTGTGACTCTTTGATCTGAGGGCTGATGCTCTAACCACTGGGCAAAACTGGCCAGGGCTACCAAATTCTTTTTGTTTTTTTAATCCTCACCCGAGGACATTTTTTTCATTCCTTGTTCAGACAGAGTGGGAGGGAGAGAGGGGGAGAGAGGGAGAGAGAGAGAGAGAAACATCGATGTGAAAGGGACACATCGAGTGGCTGCCACCTGCACGACCCAACCAGAGCTGGGGACAAACTGTATCCAAGGTACATGCCCTTAGGGAACCGAACCTGGGTCTCTCTGGACCGCTCTAACCACTGAGCAAACCAACCAGGGCTCAAATTCTTTTTTCTTTTTTTTTTTTTAAATAATAGTTCATTGATTTCCTAGAGAGAGACGAAGGGAGAAGAGAGAAACATGGAACATGGATGTGAGAGCATAACATCTATTAGCTGAATGTCCCCTACTGGGGATGGAACCCGCAACCCGGGCATGTGCCCTGACCAGGAATTGAACCACAACTTCAGTGCACAGGATGATGCCCAACCAACTGAGCCACACCAGCCAGGACAAATTTTACCAAATTTAATCTACTTTCTTATCTTAGGAAAAAGAATCTTCTGGACACACCTGTATGGTGCTTTGGTGACTCAGGACCCTGCAGCGTCTCCTCGTGGGGTTTGGAGCATCAGGGAGCTGGCTGAGGATGGAGGATGAGTGGCCTGTGCACCAGCCCAGGACTCCACTCCAGGAGGTTTTCCTCTTCCTCGCCCCAGAGACGGTTCATGCGGTCTCGTCGCTGAGGATTCCTGTTAGCTGGATTCTAGTTAACCAAAATTGTTTTGGCCTGTGATTTTGCAACTCCTGGCTGCCTTACTCAAGGGATAAGACTTTAAAAATTACTTCAGACAGGCTTCTCATCACTGGCTTCTCATCACGAGTGAGATTTCCTTATGCATACACAAAACATAAAAAAAAAAAAAATCAGCACCGATTTATATTTGCATCTGAACTATTTTTGCCTCCTTAGAATTCATACTTTGGCTGTGATTTTGAGAGGTGCTAAATCTATAATAAAGTGCTGGCTGAGCAGCCACTTGAAATGAGGGCCACCATGTGTTCAAATCGGTTTCTAAATCCATACTTCTTCATGTTTTGAAATAGTCAAGAGATCTACCTACTTCCCAAGATATGTAGAACTAAATCGTGCAAGGACAAGAAAATCTACAAGATGAATACAGATTATCTTCAGTTTCGTTTATACTGCAATTGCCAAAATTACATGTGTTTTGGGTATTTGAAACATTACTTTCAAAATATATGAATGAAGTTTTGAGCAACCAGAACAAAGACCCATGTGTAATAATATTTAAATCTACCTGGCCATGGCTCCTAAGCTTTGCTACACATTAGAATCACCTGGGGAGGTTTTCAAAAACTAGATGCCCGGTTGTACCCCAAAGTAAAATCAGGGGGTGGGAACCAGACATTAGTGTTTTTAAAAGATTCCAAAGTTTAGGAACCAATGGCATGTGGAATTATATGTGTAAGCAATTTGCAGCGTGTTACCATTTTATTTCTTAATTTTATTTATTGATTGATTTTAGGGAGAGGGGAAGGGGGAGGAAGAGAAAGATGAAAATATTGATGAGAGAGAACATCAATTGGCCCCCTCCTGCATGCCCCCCACTGGGGATTTGGCCCCCAACCTGGGCATGTGCCCTGACCGGGAATCGAACCAGTGACCTCTTGGTGTATGGGTCGATGCTCAACCACTGAGCCTCACCAGCCAGCCTGTAGGATATTACTTAAAGGATTAAATTTACAGAATAATTCACAGACATCATGTACATTTCCATGTAAAATACTTCAACACTAAGATGGTAAAATATTTCAAAAATATGAAAAAAGAGACTTTCAGTAAATAAAAAAATTATTTTGTAATCTGAAATATTGCCAAAATTTACAATGCACTCCTTCCTTGAGAATATCAGGAACATTTTATTTCCAGCATCAAAATCATTTTTATAAGTACAGAAGCAGAAGAAATACTGAAAGATGAAGGGAAGAAAGGCTATAAACAAAGGAAAACAAAAATGATTGTTTACTAAGAATTGCAAATGCTCATTTTCTACACACACCACAGAGTTCCTTTCTCTGTTCCTCAGAGTTTGTGTAATTTTCAGGGACAAGATAGTAGAGAGTTCATGCTTTTAGTTTATCAAAATAAACCCCAGTGTTCCTTCTCCCAGTCCTCAGTGAAAGCTGAGACTTGACTCATCTGTATGAAAAAAGAAAGGGAGGGACGGAGGGAAGAAGGAAGGGAGAGAGAGCAAAGGGAAGTGGTGAGTCTGCCTGCCCTTTGAATTGCTTTATGCTAAAATGCCCTCCCGAGGGATGGGTCCTGTGCGTCACAGGTTTGTGTGTGCCAGGGATGTAAGCAGTCATATAAACGGAGCCACGACCGCCATGCCCGAGGAACTAACTGCCTTGTTCGTCTTGAGCCCCGAATCTTTGGAATATTAAAACTGGGCAAAATAACCTTTGGACTGGACCTAGAGCAACATTATGTCCTGAAAATCTGTTTGCAAAGATAACAAGAAAGCAATTATTATGACTACTAGACTGAAAATTTAAAAACGTTCTTTAGAATTAAGATCACAGTGTTATGTTATCTGCACCAATAGAAATGCCTTCCTTCTGTTGATGTAATTGTTTCCCTTCTCTTTCTCATAAATGCCCATTGCTTTGTCTCCTAATTGGAACACTATTTGGGCTTCGGTCTGAATCAGTGGGTCCCAAATAGCTATTCTTATGGATCCCAGCAACGGCTTGTTGCCTCTCTCTTTGAAAGGCCTTTTTAAAATTTTTAGGTTGACAGAACAGTCGAGGATTAGGTCGGCTGAGACTCCTGCTGCCCGTCTGGCAGAGCGAGCAACTTGTAATAACAAACACACACCAGACTTGGATGAATTACCCTCCCCACAACCTGCAGGCCTGTTGGGGTCATTCAGTTCTTCAAACAGTCCCGTTTCTATGATCTCTTCCTGCCACGCTACGGGGACAGCACCTGTTGCAAATCTGTGGAAGAATTTCTTATCTTTATCCTCAAGTTCGACTCCTCAAACTTCCGAGAAATCTTCAATGTCATTGATGTCTTTGGCGTAAACCACCAAAGGGTCTGGCACATATGAGGGTTCAACTAGGCCTGCTTCCAGGCGAGGGAAGTGGATGGTTTTGAAGAAAGGGTGTTTCCTGGGATCATCAGACTTTTCTCTGTGATGAAAGGAGATGGTCAGTAACAAAGCAAAACAGGAAACCTGCTAACAATACAAAGGGGGTAGCATTTTTTTCTGTAACACATTTTTTTAAAATCCTCACTCAAGGACATTTTTGCATTTATCTTCAGATAGAGTGGGAGGGAGAAAGGGAGGAAGAGAGAGAGAGAAACATCGATGTGAGAGAGACACATCGACTGGTTGCCACCCACGCGACCCAACGGGGGCCAAGGAAAAACTGCAACCGAGGTACATGCCCTTAGCAGGAACTGAACCCGGGTCTCTCCGGTCCGCGGGCCGACTCTCCAACCGCTGAGCCAAATTGGCCAGGGCTGTAACACATTTTAATTGAGAAGACAATATAATGACATAAAGAATAATTTAGCCCTGGCTGGTTTGGCTCAGCGGTTAGAGCGTTGGCCTGCGGTCCAGAGACTCAGGTTCGGTTCCCGCTAAGGGCATGTACCTCGGTTGCAGTTTGTCCCCGGCCCTGGTTGGGTCATGCGGTGGCAGCCACTAGATGTGTTCCTTTCACATCAATGTTTCTCTCTCTCTCTCTCTCCCTCCCACTCTATCTGAACAGAAAATAAAAAAAATAAATAAATAAGAATAATTTAGGAAAATAATAACTTTAAAAACCACTCACAATTCCACCCTATGCAGACAGTAGCTTTTTCATTGTTTGCAGACAGCTTCCACATGTAGGTGTGATTTTTCAAGAGTCTAGCAGTTGACACGACTTTTATTCTTGGTGTTTCCATGAAACGCCAGCAAAAATCAGTGGGGCCAGATCCTGCTTGCCTGCACTTCTGGTCCTTGTCTCTTGCTCTGCGCTTCCGGGTCACATAGAGCAAGGTAATAGGTCTCTTTGTACATGAGCACCACTCAACATTTTAATAGACTACACTCAGATCTCACTCTTCATATGACATGATTTCTAGGAGACCACCTACCTTCCCTAACTGGCACAATCATCTTTAAAGACTTTAAAAAAATCTATCAGTAATTTTTAATCACATGAATGAGTATACATTTGGTTCTCAAGACTATGGTTGTTAGCAAATCTTCCTTCCTTGTGTTAAAAATTATTCCAGCATTTGCCTCAGAATAAGGGGGGAAAATGTATGTTCCCGTTGTGTAATCTCTTGTTTATTTACCTATTGTTGTGTAACAAATGGCCTCAACATTTAGTGGCTTAAAACAACAAACATTAATTATCTCACAGTTTCTGTGGGTCAAGAATGTAGACATGGCTTAACGGGGTGCGTCTGGCTCACGGTCTCCTGTGAGGTTGCAGTAAAGCTGTTGGTCAGGGCTGTGGTCTCATCTGCATGTTCACCTGGGGTTGGGGGTGGATCTCCTTCTAAGCTCATTCACATAAATATTGGAAAGCCTCCATTCCTCATTAAGTCAGCTTCCCCATAGTGCTGCCTTATAAAATTGTCACTGGTTTCCCCGAGGGCACATGATCAGAGGGAGAGAGAGAATGAACAAGTGGGGGTGGGAAGACAGAGTCCAAGAGAGAAGGCACAGTCTTTTTATTATCTATTCTTGAAAATGACATCTCATCACTTCTGCCATATTCTATTTCTTAGAAACAAATTAGTAAGTCCAGCCCACCCTAAGAAAAGGGAAGATGCCAGGAGGTGGGGATCTTTGGGGACCACGTTATTGGTGGCCTACTACATACTTTCCTTGGTTCCTCTTAAGTCCACGTTTTAAACAAATAAAAAGGGGGCTGTTTTGTGGCATCAGATTCAAATGATTTAAAAATTTTTCCTTTTATATGAATAGATATGCTGGTCTAAGAAATGTCTTCCTTTTGGAAGAAGTCAATTTCTGCCATAAATCAACCTTAATAAAAATTAATCACATTCATGATCTTTCCTCTTACATTTTTTTTTTCATTCCAGTTGTGAAAAGCTTTTAGCAAAAGGATTAAGGACTTCCCCATACATGCTGTTAGAGACTCCCCACCACATCGTATGACTGAAGCAGACTCTGCCCAGTAAGATGACTAGAGTCTAAACACAATAATGCCATTACTATGCATAGTGACAATAACTAACATTTACTCAGAGCCTACTTCCAGCTAACACAACTTAAGTTAAACCCTTACTTATGTTATCACACTTTACTACCACAACCTTGTCACTTTTTAAATTGTATTTTTACCTCTCTGAACATCTGCATTCATAAATAGCTGTGCATCTGAGAAAGCAAGGAAATTTGGTGAATCTTTCAAAAGAAAATTTGTAATAAAATGTTATTATGAAAAAGAGACATTCATTTGGAGGTATCTGATGTCCACCCATTCTCCAGACTGTTCTGTGATTCCGGCTTAGCCCTGTCCAGGAAGTCCATGGATTTTCCCCATTATAACCCGACTGAAAAGACAGATATGGAAAGCTGCATCCTGAGATACTACAAGGTTTCTCTTATCTTCCAAAGGCCATCAAGTCTACATCAATTGAAAGAAAGGAAAATACAGGTTTGCCATCTACTAGAAATACTGCCCAATGTCTGTGTGGTTTATATCCTGTAGAGTAAGAGCCTTGAGGAAGGGTAACTTAGATAAACTGAAGCTTCAAGGATATATATACATATATATAAAGTTAGATTTATTGAAGTATAATTTACACAACAATACCCGACATTTTAGGGTATCAGATAGATTGGGCGGTGGGGTGGGTTTCAGATCGATTTTATTTATTTATTTATTTTTTATCTTTATTGTAGAATGTATTACAGATGTTCCTCATTTTTCCCCCATGGACCTCCTCCTCCCCATTCCCACCCCCCTCCCGCCTTTTCCCACACTCTTGTCTGTGTCCATTGGTTATGCATATAAGTTCTTTGGTTTATTTCTTCCCACCCCCAACCCCCTTCTCTTTGAGGTTTGTCAGTCTAGCAACCAATTTGTTCTTCTTAATCCCTTCACTTTTTTCACCTATTCCCCCAAACCCCCTCCCATCTGGCAACCAACAAAATGTTCTCTGTATCTATGAGAATGCTTCTGTTCTGCCTGTTCATTTTGTTTGTAGATTCAATTGTCAATAGATATGTATTCATTGCCATTTTGTTTGTTCATATATTTTATCTTTTTCTTCAAAAAGAACCTTCAACATTTCATATAATAACGGTTTGGTGGTGATGAACTCCTTTAACTTTTTCTTGTCTGGGAAAGTCTTTATATGGCCATTGATTCTAAATGACAGCTTTCAGGATAGAGTAATCTTGGTTGTAGGTTCTTGCTTTTTATCACTCTGAATATTTCTTGCCACTTTCTTCTGGCCTGCTAAGTTTCTTTTGAGAAATCAGCTGACAGCCTTATGGGAACTCCCTTGTAGGTTACTAACTGCTTTTCTCTTGCTGCTTTTAAGATTCTCTCTTTGTCTTGAACCTTTTGCATTTTGATTATGTGTCTTGGTGTGGGCCTCTTGGGGTTTATCTTGTTTGGGACTCTCTGTGTTTCCTGGACTTGTATGTCTGTTTCCTTCACCAAGTTAGGGAAGTTTTCTGCCATTATGGTTTCAAACAGGTTTTCAATTCTTGTTCTCTCTCTTCTCCTTCCGGCACCCCCAAGATGTGAATGTTGGCACATTTGAAGTTGTCCCAGAGGCTCCTTACACTATCCTCATTTTTTTGGCTTCTTTTTTCTTTTTGCTGTTCTGATTGGGTATTTTTTGCTTCCTTGTATTCCAAATCGATGGTTTGCTTCTTGTCTTTACCTACTCTACTATTGAATCTGTGTAAATTATTCTTTATTTCAGTTAGTGCCTCCTTTGTTTCTGACTGTGCATCCTTCATTTCTGACTGATCCTTAATGCTCTTGAGGCCCTCACTAAGTTCATTGAGCATCCTTATAAGCAGTATTTTGAACTCAGCATCTGTTAGGTTGCTTATCTCCATTTCGCTTAGTTCTTTTCCTGGAGTTTTCTTCTGTTCTTTCATTTGGGACCTGTTTCTTTGTCTCCTCATTTTGGCTGCCTCTCTGTGTTTGTTTCTGTGTATTACTTAACAAGAGCTATGGGGCTAGCTGAGACCAGATGCTGCTTGTTTGAAAAAATTTAGGAAAACCTGAAGCAGGATCCAACACAGGCCAATCCTATTATTAAGCAACTGGTAACAGCTTGGGTGGGCCTGAAAGTTGGGTGGGGCAGGGCGGGGCCTCAGGGACTCACCAGGGCGGAACTACCAGTGTGAGACAGGTTGCTGGAGTCCCAGATATGGCAGCTGTCTGCCGCCCCAGGGAAGGGCTCACCAAAGGAACAAAGGCCTCTGACAGCACGTTTGTCCCAGAGAAAGCCCCCTCTCCAGCCCTTGCTCCAATGCCAAACAGCTCAGTTCTTCCCTGTATGCCTCTGGCACCCCTCAAGCTGCCTCCCCTCCAAGCTTAGAGGAAGTGAGTTCGATTAGTCCGTGCGTGGGCCCTTTAAGAGGAGCTGCTTGGGGCTCCAGTTGCCTCAGCCTCCCTGAGCCTCAGTTCTCGCTGGTTTTTCCAGCCAGAAGTGATGGGGATTCTCTTCCTGGCACTGGAACCCTGAGCGGGGCGCCTGGTGTGGGACGGGGACCCCCTCAGTCCTCAGGAAAGACCTTCCCAGCCAAGGTGTCCTCCTGATTTTTATCCGCCACACGTGGGTGTGGGACCAGCCTGTCTGCCTTCGCCCTCCTACCAGTCTTGTTGTGGCTGCTGCTTTAATTCCGTAGTTGTAGGACTTCCATTCAGCTTGATTTCAGGCAGTTTTGAATGATGGTTGTTCTGTAGTTTAGTTGTAACTTTGATGTTCAGATAAATTTTAAATGTGGCAGAACAAGGCTAGAGCTAGAATTCCATCCAAGTAGATCAGGAATAAACCCCAGGCCTGTGGGTCTCAAAGAGAACAAAGGAGTTGGAATGGGTCCAGGTGCCATGAGCAGCTGTTTGTTGGCCACTGGCAGGCACGAACACACTGTCCCAGAGATCAAGAGGGTACCTTTAACTCAATGAGCAGCTTT